ATAAATAAGTTAAGTTATAACAAAATAAATTCAGTAGGTACCTTTCAGCTCTTCCCACTCTGCCGATACGATGGACATAGTTCTGCTTCTCATCTGGCAGAGTCACGTTAATCACTGGAGGAAGAAACCATTAACATAAATATATAAAAAAATATAGCAACTCTTCTGTAATGTTCACTGAATATATAATTTTTATTTGTAAAGTAATATAATTTTCTAGCAAGCATCCATATACCAAAAGGAACTCCGTGGATGTCAATTCCTCTGGCAGCTACATCAGTGCAGATCAACAGCTTCACTTCTTTTCTCTGAGAACATAAACAATCCTCAAAAACACTGACTGGTTGCACTTTGTTAACCTCCTAGGACCTGACGTCCACATATGTGGACATTACATTTTGGGTTATTTAGACCAAAATACTCAATTTTGCTCTACAAGGGCCTGATATCCACTTACGAGGACTTTATACTGCTACTGTTCAATCAAAATTTTAAACAAATATCCTCATATGTGGCTCTTATTTTTCTTAAAAACCAAAATAAGGTAAAACAAAAAATTTGGTAATTCTTTGTTTTTACATTCATCGGGCCCCAATCAGCCCAAATATCAAAGAGAAATTAAAAATGCATGGCATGGAAGAGTTCGGGTCTTAGGAGGTTAAACTGCATAAGCAGGTTATGATTTTTGCTTTGTTTTGCCTTTTTTGTTATTTTACCTTGAAGCGCTCCAGGTTATTTTTCCGCTCATTAGGCTTACGATCGCCATGGAGGCAAACACAGGAAAACTGGTGACCTTTGCTATTTGGACCTGAAGAAGACACACATGAACTCAGCCATTTGTAACTGGGGGGAAAAGACCAAGTATTCATATTTAACTGTGTCTTTTTTCACTTTCTAAACTTCTGCAGTGGCTCAAACAAAAACATCTAAATTGTTCCAACACAGCCTACCTCCTCCTTGCTGAATGAAGTACTGCTCCATGTTGTCACAGTCAATTTTGGTACGACAGAAGATTATAGCCTGGTCCATTTTGTGTTCTTTAATGGCTCTCACCGTGTACTCGCCCTTCAGGATCTTGATGGCCTCTGACCACATTTCTGACTCACAAAAAGACACACACACGCCTTTACTGAAGTTCATATTAAGGTAAGTGTTATCTGTGTTGTTTATGTGATGTGTATACTGACTGGAGTGAATGGACAATAATGATATTTTACACTTTCTATCAGGGTGATGAAGATGAGCGGTCTGAACTGTGCTGCCCAACTGCACCTACCTGCAGTATTGGCTCCTGGTCTGGTGTTATCATTTGAATGAACTTCATCAGTCTACCCAGAGAAACAGAGGAAACAGCTAAATCACCACAACTGTAAACTAAGACAAAGACATGATAACAACATACACAGTGTAGAATAAAAAGGTGATTATTCCTCCACCCAAGTCTGAAACACAGCCGAATTGCTTAACTTGATGTTTCAGTACTTTTCTGTTTATTCAGTTTCCTTCCCCGAGCACGAGGAACTCACCCGGATGTGGTTCTTGCCGAGGCGCTCCCACAGATGGTCGCTCTTAGGATTGACGGGCACCACTACGTGGTGGACAGTCTCCGGAACAGAGTCCTCCCCCTTCAGATCCACCCAGGTGGGAAAGTGCATGATGCGCTCGGATAACTTCTTCACATCGAATGAATGCAGTGTCGCTGAGCATACAATGACCTGGAAAATGAAGAGATCGTCACCTAAACTACTAATGCCAGCAAACATCCTTCTACTACAACATCTATCACAGTACACAGGTTTAATTTCACACATGTAATTTATGCTCAGCGTTACCTGCAGTCTCTTGCCATCAGAGGTGACCTGGGGGATTTGATTATGGATCCTGTTGATGAAGTCCGTATAACCTGCTGACAGGAGGCCATCCTGAGATACACAAAGACACAAAATAGTTAAGGGATTTTATGCTATATTATACATATCAACCATTAAAAAAAACCCAAAACAAAACATATGTGTAATCTATAAATAAAAAAAACAAAATTCACATACACACTCATCCAGCACCAGAAAGCGGACTTCGGACAAACTCAGTTTCCCAGTGGAAATGAGGTCATCCAATCTACCAGGTGTTCCCACCACAATGTCAATCTAATTATAAGACGACACCAGGAAAAAAAGAGGAAAAATGACATCCAATTAAAAAAACATATTTCAACAATTTGATTTACAGTAATTAAAACTAAGTCAATGTTTTTTGTTTTTTTGGGGATGGGAGTAGGCGTAACTGTACGTGTCACATACCCCCTGTTCCAGAGCAGCCAGCTGGTCTTTGGCAGCCACACCACCAATCACCAGCAGCTCCCTGCAATGACAGACTGACAAATTAATAAAATAGCATGGCTCCATCTGGTGGTGTAAAAACGCAGGCAAATGACGGTTTTAAAGGGATGACAGAATAATCTGGATTGTTACTACAAATGCTTTTTTATTTCTGGTTTTAAGTGGAGGTTTTGTTCAGTTTGTGTCACTCAGTGTCGATACCACCTCCATGGTGTCATACCTGAGTTTGGGATTATCCACATATTTCTTAAACTGCGTGACATTGTTGAGGGTTTGTTCAGCCAGTTCTTTAGACGGCTCAATGATCAGGGCTTTGGGTGAATTTGAGGATGTTTTCACCTGACTCACGTTGGCACTGCCTGCACAATCACAGAAGAAATATTGTACTTGGCATACTCAAATTAGAAAATGTACCTTGTTTTAACACGAGTGAGTGAAAGAAGGCATATACCGTAAAAGGAACACTCTTGTCTTAAGTGCCTGAAATGAGGTTGAAAGCACACACCTGTCTGAGAAGATTTGACAGCATGACCCTCTGGTGCCTGGTCCAGGGCAACAAATCCACTCTTAGGGGGATGTTTAAAATCTTCTCCTCCAAAGTTAAACTTTAGCTCTGCATTCTGTAAAACAGAAAAGATGATGGTGTCAGTCAGGCATCAGTTTTTTATGTTCTCTGCCATCACTGTGTTGTCTTATCCGTCGATACCTTGAGCACACAGGAAGCAAAGAAAGCTTGATTCTTCAGATTTTGAGGGATTTCAAAAGCCACACCCAGGTCGTTACCTGATGAAAAAAAAAAAAAAAAAAAAAAAAAACACACAACATAAACCAATTATGAGTTATTTCTTTATTTCTAACAGCTTTGAATAGGTTATTTATTTTTCATAATAGAAAAACTGGTACCATACCATTTTTAGAGAATGAAATTTGGCTCTTTTCTAGATCCAGGTAGCATCCAATAGTGTCATGCATGGTAAACTCCTAAAAAAATAGCAAAGAGAACCCATTTAAAAAATCATTCCCAAATTTCTTTAAACGTGTAAATAATGTGATCTTTCATTATCCGTTACCTCCCCATAGCTGTCAAACTGCTTGTTGTTGGATTTCTTTCCAGTCCCACCAAAACCAAACCCATATTTATCAGTTCCTAGAAAGAAAAACAAAGAGTCTGGTGTTAAATTACAGTAGTGCTCTGGTGAAATAAATTGTTTAAAGTGGAGCATTTTCTGCTGCATTAATACTGTAGATGGTAGAAAAGAATACCCAGGTCCAGAGCCGCCTGACTGGTAGACCAACCCACCCGGCACAGGCCCTGGTCATGGCAGGTCACCTCATAGTAGTACTTCCCTAAGCAGAAAAAGTAACATATAAGGACTGATAATAATTTACACTTTTATGTTTCTTGATCCATCATACGATTATTTGATTCTCTGATCACTCCGTAAGCACTTGTGTACATCACACACCTTTGGTGACACCTTTAGTGGAGCGACAGCCATGCCACTCTTTGAACTCCCTGCTCTGGCAGCACAGTCCATCTGACCCAATTGCTAAGAAGAAAAACATTAAAAGGCAATGAGCAGATGTTTAAAAAATCAAAACAGAAAGCTGGAAAGTGACATTTACATAAACATTGCATGTTTATGATCTGTTCTTACCAAAGGCTGGACTGCGATCATAAGGATTCATCTGCCAGCTGTTGAAAACTGAGACAAAACAAAAGAAGAGCAGGTCAAACACCTGCAGAACACTCTATACTGTCTACCCAACATTAAAAGTCTTAATTTATATGCACACATTTAAGATGGCATATGAATCATGAAGCCTGAAACTAAATAACTGATTAAATATTCTCACTGGCTCCTCCAGTTTTAATAGAGGCTCTGCCCTTTTTGCCCTCCTGCTGATCCTTCAAGGTCTCATACACAATCTGGATCACAGGGATACTGAAGGCCTGAGGAGGACAATGGGAAACTGTCATGACCCAGTAAGTGTGAAAATAAATATATACAGTGTAGACATACAAAGAAAAAAAAAAGGCCTTTCTCCCAAGTTTGTGTCGCTGTTAAGTACTTACTCCTGTTTTGCCACTGCCAGTTTCCGCAGCCTTAGAAGACAGAAAAGTCAGATGTCAGCCTCGCAGCAGGGTGCAAATATCTGTGAGCCAAATGTGTCCAGAGAGCCAAGCTTACCATGAGCACATCTCCTCCACCAAGGATGAGGGGGATGGACTCCGCCTGGATGTCAGTAGGCAACCTGAAAACCGATGATTCATTTAGTCAGTTTGATATCAAATATTAAAATGTAAGCATACAACAGCATGCATGATTTTGCAAATTTGTAGCTGAACTCACAGCCAGTCCATCTCTTCCACAGCCTGCGCGATTTCAGGCATTACCCCCATTTCTGTCACATAAAAACACATATTAAATGATTGAGTGGGCTTACGTAGCTTCAAAACGGCAGTTGATGTGTAAGCAATTTAAAACCGTAACGTCAAAATTAAGTAGGAATGTAAAAATCTCACCACCAAACGCTGCCATTGCTACTGCTAGTACAAGTGCAACGCAACCGGATGTGCCGGTCAGCAAAGGCTCCCCCTCAACAACCAAGTAAAATTAGTTCCGGATAGTGAACAAGTTCGTAAAAATAAAGCGGGGGTTTGAGAAAAAAGGTCGCTTGTGGACTTGAGATACAAAAGCTAATATTAACATTTATAATAAGCCAAATAAAATCACAAAACCGCTTTTATAGACGGTTAGCAACAGTTCAGTTACAAACGCGTTTCTTTATAGTTTGTTCCTGCTTGTCGCCGTAGATTTCTGACAGCTGTAAACATGGCCGAAGAAAGCTTAATTGAGGGCGAAGAAGAAAACATTTTATACGATTTACTGGTTATTACTGAATGGCCACCAGAGACGGACACTCAGGTTGGTAGCTTTCACTTTTGCGGTTTTGTATTCACGGCGTAGCTCTTGTGGTGAGCAGCTATCTGTAGAAATGACCAGCGAAAGACAACCGCCTTGAGTTTCGTGGGGTCAGCCGCCCAGAGCCACGTAGCACAAATACAGGATAAGCTGCAGTTGGTTGTCTTGATAAACAAAGTTTTACCTTCCCGTCGCACGTCATACATCACACAGCAGAGCAGCGAGTGCTCATTTAGCACTAGTGTCCTGCATACGTTTCATTTACCTGCAGCTTTTATAATGATCTAAAATCAAAAATCTGCTCTGTCAGAGAAACGACCTATCACTTGGTTTCATTAATACTCCAGAATGAAATTGGAAAATCAATATCAAAATATGACAATCGCAGCTCATCTGTTACTATTTTACATTGCAGTTGCGAGGCAACAAGGAGTACAGCACCTCTCTAATTGCAAAAGCTGTGACAGGTAAGTCCTGATTTTCGTTGCCACGGTGTGATAATATGCATGCATGCATATCTTGCATATATTGCTCTTGCTCTTGACGAAGGCGGTCGCTCTTGTCTCCTCTCCTCCTCTCTCTTAGCTTCCCTGCTTAGCCTCTTATGTCCTTGTCTAGTCTCGTGTTTTTTGTATTA